GGGGCGGTCACCCCAGCCTCACTGGCCGGGCAGACCCCGCTACACCTGGCTGCGCAGTACGGCCACTACGAGGTGGTACGTGAGCCTGCCTGGCGGGGTGCGGGGAGGGAGCCGCTGGCCAGGTCAGACCCCACTCACTCGGCGCCCCCCACCCCAGTCAGAAATGCTCCTGCAGCATCAGTCCAACCCGTGCCTGGTCAACAAGGCCAAGAAGACGCCCCTGGACCTGGCCTGTGAGTTTGGGCGACTCAAGGTGAGGCCTGCAGCCCTCAGGCGCTGGGTCCTGGGTGTCTAAGGGCCCAAGAGGAGGCCCTAACGTGGCATCGGGTGCTGCAGGTGGCCCAGCTGCTACTGAACAGCCACTTATGTGTGGCATTGTTGGAGGGCGAGGCCAAGGACCCGTGTGACCCCAACTACACCACTCCTCTCCACCTGGCTGCCAAGAATGGCCACAGAGAAGTCATCAGGTACCACTTCCTGAGCCCTTTCCCTGGGGCCACCTGCATCCCTCGCTGCCCCCTCCACCCTGGCTGCCCAGCCGCCTGCCCCCCACCCTGTGACTCACTCTGTCCCCCACAGGCAGCTCTTGAGAGCCGGGATTGAGATCAACCGCCAGACCAAGACAGGCACAGCGCTGCACGAGGCTGCGCTCTACGGCAAGACCGAGGTGGTGCGGCTGCTCCTGGAGGTGGGTGGGCATCTGGGCACTCCCAGGTGCACGCAGAGCTTCTGCTGTGTGCCGAGAGCCGGCCACTGGGGAGCCCGCGGTGTTTGCACGGGTGTCGGGGAAGAAGCTGAGTTCCTTCTGTATGGTGCCAAGGCCCTGTGGCTGGAGGAGAGGCTGACCTGCTCTGACCCCCAGGTCTGCCTTCCACTAGCCGAGTGACCTTGATCTTGTCCTTGACCTGGTCTCTGAGCTTCTGCTTCCTCCTCAGTACAATCTGAAAAAACGATAGTAACGCCTCCTGGGACTTAGGGGGAGGGGATTAGGGGCAGATGACAGGCAGAGTACTTAGGCATGCTCACACGACACTGCACCCAGGGAGGCGTGGACGTGAACATCCGGAACACATATAACCAGACGGCGCTGGACATCGTGAATCAGTTCACTACCTCCCAGGCCAGCCGGGAAATCAAGCAGCTTCTACGGGGTGAGTGTGTGGGAGAAACCCCAGCTGGGGGCTCCAGAGCCCCTCCAGTGGGTACCACGATGTGCAGGAGGAGATGTCCTTGGGGAGGGTCATGAGGGGCAGCAGGGGTAGACGGTGCCCTGGGGACCTTAGTGACACCTGCCCTCCCACTCGTCTTAGAGGCCTCAGGGATCCTGAAGGTCCGAGCACTCAAGGACTTCTGGAACCTGCACGACCCCACCGCTCTCAATGTCCGGGCCGGGGACGTCATCACGGTGAGGGAGCCGGGCATGCATTTGCAAATCCGCCTGGTTGCTGGTACTTACCTGGGCACCTGCTTTTTGTCAGATGTTGTTGTGCCATGGCCTTTATTTAATTCTCGTTCAATTCTTTCCAAATCCAGGGATGTGGAGTATGATACCATTTTATTCTTTTTTTTTTTTTTTTTTTTGAGGGAGAAATTTTTGTTAAGGGGCTGGCGCGGCTGATGGGAGTAGGAAGTGGTGCCGTGTGTCCGGAGGGCAATCTGGACTGGCAGTGCTGCTTGTGTTAAATTCCTCTGGATTTTTTTTTTTTTTTTGTTTTTTTTTGTAAGGGAGAAATTTTTGCTATAGGGCATGTGCGTTTGCCGGAGACAGACACAGAGAGATGGAAAGCGAGAAATCACCCCCCAGGTTGGGATGGCCACACTGCAGCCCCTTCTCCTCCATTCTTCTCTGGGGATTTTGGACATGTACGCACACACTCAGTGTGCTTAAGCCACCAGGTCCGGGACTTTAAACTGCAGTCCACTACGGGAGCTCAGCGATGTCACCACTACGCCATCTGCTGGTCCCACCATTTTACCTTTCAGAGATGACAGCATTGAGGCTTAGGGAGATTAAAGCAACTTGTCTACGGTCACACAGCTGGCAAGCAGTGGACTTGGGATTTGAACACAGGCTGACTCAGGGCTCCTGTCTGGATGCCCCTGATGCACCTGGGGGATTAGGCTAGCAGCAGGACAGACTGTGGCGGACTTGGGTGTGAGAGGCCAGCTCCTCGGGCCGGGATGCAGGGAAGCTGCTGGCCCCTTGCGTGGTGCCGGGTGTGACTGTCCCCTCACCGCCGCCCCTGCTGCAGGTGCTCGAGCAGCATCCGGATGGCCGCTGGAAGGGCCACATCCACGAGAGCCAAAGGGGCACAGACCGTGTGGGCTACTTCCCTCCAGGCATTGTCGAGGTGGTCAGCAAGCGAGTGGGCATCCCTGCGCCCCGCCTCCCTTCTGTGCCCACCCCTCTGCGTCCAGGCTTCTCCCGGACACCGCAGCCTCCTGCTGAGGACCCCTTGCACCCTCTTACCTATGGCCAGCTCCCTCGGGTGGGTCTCAGCCCGGACAGCCCAGGTACATCTTCCCAGAGCAGCACTGGACACAGGTGGGGATGTCTGGCTTTGGCGCACTGCCAGTCAGCTGTTGGCAGTGCTAACTGGGGCTCTGTCCCCTTTGCTTCTGCCCCTGCAGCAGGTGACAGGAATAGCGTGGGTAGTGAGGGCAGTGTGGGCAGCATCCGCAGTGCCGGCAGCGGGCAGAGTTCCGAGGGCACCAACGGGCATGGCCCTGGCCTCCTTATCGAGAATGCTCAGGTAGGAGGAAGGAGGCGCTGGACTCGGGGCAGGCCCCCCAGCCCCTGCTGTCAGCTTCCCAAAAGCTAAATCTGCTCCTCCCCTGTCCCCAGCCGCTGCCTTCAGCCGGAGAGGACCAGGGACTGCCAGGACTGCACCCCCCGACCCTGGCAGGTAGGGAGGGTGACTGGCACCTGGGCTGGCTAGGAGAGGTGCAGCAGGGAGGCCGAGGGCCCCGCACCCCTTCCTCCTGCCTCCTCTGATCCCCTCCTCTCCCTCCTCAAAGACAACCTGAGCCACCGCCCTCTGGCCAACTGCCGCTCTGGGGAGCAGATGTTTACCCAGGACGTGAGGCCGGAACAGCTGCTGGAGGGGAAGGTGCGACCTCTGCTGGGGAGGGCTGGGGAGGGCAGGGGAGATGGGGGGCCTTAGTGTGGGCTTAGTGTAGGCCAGGGCTAGGGGCTGGGGCTCCGCTGCTGCAGGCTCTACCCCATCCCCAACCCCGCAGGATGCACAGGCCATTCATAACTGGCTCAGCGAGTTCCAGCTGGAGGGCTACACGGCCCACTTTCTGCAGGCTGGCTATGATGTGCCGACCATCAGCCGCATGACACCTGAGGTAGGTGCTCACGGGGAGGGCCGGGGAGGACCCCACGGGCACAGGAGGGGGCTGATGGCCAACCGTATGCCGCAGGATCTGACAGCCATCGGGGTGACCAAGCCTGGGCACAGGAAGAAGATTGCCTCGGAGATTGCCCAGCTCAGCATTGCTGAGTGGCTGCCCAACTATATCCCTGTGAGTGGGTGAGGGGAGTGGGCACAGGCTCCCCCGCTCAGTGGCGGCTGTGTGCCCTCCCTCCCCGCCCTGGACCCAGCTATATCCCGGGGAGTGGGTGAGGGGAGTGGGCACAGGCTCCCCCGCTCAGTGGCGGCTGTGTGCCCTCCCTCCCCGCCCTGGACCCAGCTATATCCCGGGGAGTGGGTGAGGGGAGTGGGCACAGGCTCCCCCGCTCAGTGGCGGCTGTGTGCCCTCCCTCCCCGCCCTGGACCCAGCTATATCCCGGGGAGTGGGTGAGGGGAGTGGGCACAGGCTCCCCCGCTCAGTGGCGGCTGTGTGCCCTCCCTCCCCGCCCTGGACCCAGCTATATCCCGGGGAGTGGGTGAGGGGAGTGGGCACGGGCCCCCCCTCAGTGGCGGGGGGGTG